AAGTTACATAGGCGTATGCAGACTCACCTAGTTTCTCCAAAAAAAATTGTTCAAAAGAAACCATTAAAGAAAGATAGACGAAGTGGTGGTTTGATTTTAGATATAGAAACCGAATATTCTTTTATTCCTCACACAGATAGGATTACAACACCACACACACAAATCCAACACAAACATAACGAAATTGAAAACATTAAACCAATCCAAACCGGAATCAAACTAACACAAGAAGATAGACATAGAGAGAGATGGTAATAAGATAGTATAACAATAATAATCTGCTGATTCCGAGGGGAACCGAAGCTTGCCAAAGGATCGAAGTTGCCCTAAACGAGGGATAACAAAAGACACATCAAGCTTGCTTGTCTTCATCAACCTTCATGCAATCTTCATCGCTCCATTCACATACAATCCTCATCACCATCATAATGATAATGATGATGATGATTCATTTACACAACACCAACACATAAACACATTTCATAATCATAATCTCCATAGAGATCTTCTTCTTACCTTTTGTGAGTACTCTTGTGTTTTGGGCCATCCCCTAAAGAGAACCTCTCAAGACCCTTTGATTGGTGAGATCTTTTGATTGAAATTGAGGGTTCTTCATCTTCACTTTCTTTAGGGGATGGCCATATTTTTGTGTGTTTTTGGTGTTGTGCCAAAGAGAGTTTCAACAATGGATGTTGTTAGGGTTTTTATGGTTTCTCTCTTTGTCTTTGGTCATGGAGACAGATTAAGAGAGAAGTTGAAAACACCCATTACATAAGCTATAGTGTTTTTCCACTTTTTCTTTAAAATACTATTTTCTGTAATAATTAATCAGCTCAGTGTAACCACTGTATCTGGTGTCTGTTGATAATAGATTACTTTTTGCTTTTTGTTAGACTGTATCTGAAAGTGTATACAGATACAAAATTTGGTTTATATAGTATTGTAAGATATACTGACATTGAAACTATTCATGAATGGTACATTGTATGCAAAACTATATATGAATTTGAAAGTATATAGCTCTGCAAGTTATTTTAAGTGTACATTATATATATATAATATTGAAAAATAAAAGAAAAATGTATAGATTATTGGTGTAAAGGGGGAATAAAAGTAAGAATTTTCATTGGTGTAAAGATGACATTGAAAGAAATCAA